CACCATTCAAATCATTATTTCTGAGGGAATCGAATTAAAACGTGTTTTATCCGATAGATGTCTTTTTCTCAAGTCGTAAATATCTGTCGATGTATAAAAAAAAAAAAACTTCTGCACGTCTCTATCTAAAGGAAAAACTATTCGTGTTTTTCTGATACTATATAAATAGCGTATTTAATAATCAATTGATTTGTTTCATAATGTATCTAATGAATATTTAGAGAGCTTTTCAATATTTGAGAGTTTTTTAATGTTCTCAGTTAACTATTTGGTTAATTGACACTTGTGTACTTGATTTGTTTTTATACATCACTGCATGAATATTTTTTAAACCCTCACCGACATGATAGATTATAGTCAATATCGTGTATCTCGTGGAATGTGAACACTCTTATGTCAGTTGTACCATGAAAAATAGGTGACATGACTTATTTCTACTAGGGTATTGGAAAGTATTCTTCGGATATGTTTCTTTCCTACAGGAAATTGAAACTTCGATAGGTCTTTCTTTTCTCGTCGAATATTTGCAACTTCGATGAGTTCTAAAGTATTTGAACAAGCTTGAGAAGTGAAATAGGAAGGGTCAATAGGATACAGTTTTTGAGTGCGACTGCTTACCAGATTTATTATATATTTTTTAAAGTCTGCTTTGAGTAGAAACCAGAAGTGGGTAGAGAACAACTTTTTTCTCTTCTGTCCTGTCTTGTGTCGAACTTTTGTTGAAACAAACATCGAACCTGAATATCAATCAGTAGGAAAAAACCTTTAGCTGTAATACTACTTCTTCCCATAATCTACAAATTTTTCTTTTTTGTTTTAGTCTCGACTAAGCTGTCGTTTTTATGGTTCCTGTGTTATTACTGTTACTACACGTCGTGATTGCACATATTGTCGATTAAAAAAATGTTTTGATATTAATATGCGTAAAGATTGGATTCGTACTGAAGAAGAAAAACAATCACGGCAATTAATTAAATTTGGAAAAAAACACAAGAAAGCATCTAATCCATCAAATGATCAACTATCTCTTGTTACTCATTCAACAATTCGAGGAAGGAAAAAACGTTTGATGAGTAAATCAAAAAGACAAAAACTTATTGCCAATCCAGTAAATACAATAGAAATCTTCTAATACTATTTATACTCTTTATCTTTCTTTTCTAGATTTATGAAATTAATTGTTTTGGTCTTAATCATGTTCTTGATGATGATGATCGAACTTTATTAAATAATATAAATGATGCCTATCAATTGATAGTAGCTAATATTGATTATTCTTATATTCATAAATATACATCATCGACATCTCTTTCACAGTTTATTAACAATGAAAGTATTATCCATGAATCATTGATTAATTTTTTTAAATGTATAACTGAATTTAAACAATTAGATATCAATGATCAAATTATATTGATCAAATCTAATTTCATAAATATTATACATTTACATTATATGTTAATAATGGATTTTCAAGAGTCTTCGATCATTAGTAAAAATATGTCGAAATGGATAAGTGAAGATTTTCATTATCAAATGATTCGAACACATCGATATTTATTTCGTTTTATGAATTATCCACTATTATTAAAACTTACATTAATTGTTTTTATTTTTAATGTTGATTTATCTGCATCATCAGATCCAAATCAATTTTATGAATATAATAATCAAAGAATATTATTTGAATGTCAAAATTATTATACAAATATCTTATGGCGTTATTTAAATTATTTATTTGATGAAAAAGAAGCCATAGAATCAATGCAAATCATAGTTATGCAAATTTTACGTTATCAATTATTAATGGTTACAATGAAAAACTCTATACGACAAAGTCCAGATTGTGATCTATTTCATCCATTAATGAAATCTATATATGCAATTCCTTAAGAGACAGATCGATATCAATATTTATTCGTTAGATGAATCTTGTTTTGTTTTTTTGAATGTAATTCTATTATGAAGAATAAGAAAATTTATAAATTCAATAAACTCATAGATGTTATATTTGTAGAATTACTTGTATAATAATATATTCTATTTGTTCTTGCTTTTGCATTATCAATATTGCAAAAGAATTTCAATAGGTTGTTGTGTATTCGTATATTCAAAAGAATAATCGAAAGAACATTGGAATGAAACATGATTAAAAAACATATGGAACTACTGAAAAAAAATTGTGATCAGTTGTTTTTTAGCCATTATACATCTCTATCCTCTTCTTTAGGATTAAAAGAGATTGTTTCGGAACTTTCTACTAGAGATGGGTCAGTTAGTACTTTTGCCAAACCGAGTTCAAAGAGAGCGAAGTGTACCTTATGTTAATCAGTGTATTAGTTCTTTATATATTAGCCACAACAAATCGAACAATAGCAACTACGAACAAGAAACATTTAGAGAAAACAAACAATAAAGATCATTTATTGGGTCCTGTTAATGTATTATAACTTTCTTACCTCTCGAAACAAACTTAAAAAATATGTGAGATAATAAGTTACAAGCAACAGTTAATTGTTGCCCGATTATACTCTTTGTCTTGCTATGCCTCACTCAAGGAGTTGATCGAACTCAAATTAAAAGATTATATCGATTCTTTCTAAAACCGAATCGAACTGATCCCATCTCTGCTCCGTATTATGAAATGAGATAGACTCTCGCTATCAAGCTCATAGTACAAATTTACTGCAAGAAAAGAAAATATATCATATATGGGTGTAAAGTTTTCATGTAAATTCCGAGAAGTGAATCATCGTCACAAGGTTCACGAATCGAGTATATTGGCATCGGTATCGTTGAGGGACTGACCACATTTTCATCCATATTCATTGCAACATGAAGATACCAAATCTATTAAAATGTCTGCTTTTTATAGTACTGTGTTCCATACACTTCGGTGAGCATTGGTGCTACTGTGCACTATCTTTCGCGAGTTTTGAATGCAGTCATATCTGTAGTCAGTCGCATATACATGTGAGCTTCATATTTTGCATTTTTTCACTTTAACAAAATCTGTACTTTGTGTCGCGATGATCTAGAGAAGGACGAGTCTCTAGAATCTCGTTGAAAATTTTCCAGACAGATTGATATCTCGACATGATACAAACATTTTGAGTCTCCTATATCAATTTTCGTTCATGTTCTTGAAGTTCCACAAAACATCGGTTTTGACAACTTATTGGGATCAGATCACATCGTATTTACTCTGACAATTTCAAGTTTTCTTCTTACTAGATCTATGAATAAGATCTTCCACTTTCTCCGAGAAAGTTACTGAAAAAGAGAAAGTTTCGTAGACTTAGCATTTTTTTTACAAGCTTCGAGATATTTAAGAGGATGACAGTAGCAAAGGTTACCGGCCACTTTCTTTGCTTGTATCTAAGACAATTATGACTACAAGTGAAGATAGATAATGAATTAGAAATAGAATCAAGTGATTAATCGATGTCCTCTATTAGAAAAATGTTGATAACTGTTAATAC